ACATGGACCGCTCCGCAGCGGCGCTGGTATGCATAGACAACTCTTACGATAACTGGAGCACGGAAGCACGCATACTAAGTTAGTAGTACTAACTTAGCACGCATGGCCCCCTCGGAGGATTACCAACGAATCATCGGTTAGTTGTATGGGCAGTAGCCCTATTATAACTAGTATCACCATCATATTCTACTGATTAACACAGGTTACTCGTTCTATATCTAGAGATGATTTGTCCCGTTGGATAGTGTTATATTCTTAAGATCGCTAAGTCGTAATTTCGGGTCGATGTGGAACAGCTCCACTGAAGTTATTTTCAGATCTTGAACTTTCTCATGCACTACCTCATTTCAAGTAAGTTCGCGTGAAGCTGAGCGCCATTCACACGTGTAATGAAGAACGAGTTTTGCACTTCGCATTTCACGAACTCCACAGGTTTCCGCGAAATCCCTCACACGTTTCACGCGAGATGGCGCTTCTTCGAGTAGTGTTACCTCCATTTTTCACTTCGCGTAATTCGTGTAGTACTACAACAGCAACCTTTTACTGCTCTTGAGCCCAAGAGACATGATAGGTTGTTCATCTAACATCCATGCGTTTCGCCTCTCTGCTTCTCGCTGTTACTATCCTGGCTGCTTCTGGTTCCACCGACGGTGCTCCTCAAGATAATCCCCCTATAGGCCGCAACCTCCACAACTTCGGCGATGAGTGTGCTACATGCGCCAAAGGGCGTTGCCGCTGTGGTCATAGCGGCTGCTGGTGTGAATGATAGTATGATAATCTTCCTATTCGATGATCCTAGAGGATCGGATAGGACCTATCCCATCCTCATTATCATGTACCCAAGTGTGGTATGTTGTGCAGGTGGAACTTCAAGGGTTATAACTCATGTATGCCTCAACTTTCCGCCTCTTCTACTGATATCGCTAGATCCCGGTCATAGTAGGTTGAACGTCTGATGATACTTCCTATCTTAGAGATAGGCATATCATTATGCTCTCTCAACAATGCAGCGATCTACCGTGTATCGGAATTTATCGATCGGGTCGTAACACAATCAAATAATGATTTTTTCATTATTCAGTCGTTAGCTTTCTCTTTCGTACTCTAGATTATCAAACTGGCTTGAGGATTCTGAGATCACTTCTATGACTTGATAAGTTTGTGAAACATCCGATATACAATTTTGATCTATGGCGTTATGAAGTTCGTATTTGAAAAACTGGTTATGTTTCGAGTATTTTACTTCAGAGGTTCTTACTTGGATCTTAATTATCGGCATATTACATCACCATCTGTCCGATATGGATACTAGTCATAACGAAAAAGGCGATGTTGGGTTGCATTAGAGTCAATCGTAGTAAGTGTGAGTAATCTACTCACATCCTCCAAGGGGGGTTGACAGTCCAATCGACTGGCGCGAATGAGAACAGTCATAGCGGCTCAAGGGTGAGCCAACCTGTGGGTGTATGAAATTGGGCACAATAATTGATATTGATCGACGCAGAATCTCCATGTACAACGTACGATCACAGCATGCTATTCGACGATGCCTGTCACGTGATGCTCCGAGCACCATGCTCGGCATCATGTTCAACCGTGACGGTTGAGATAAACCGCCCCGTATCAACAAACCGTGTCCATCTAGAAATGAAAGTAAATTATAATGGTAAGCAGCCGGGTGTGCAGGTTTGTGATCACGGATAGAGACAAATGAATACATAGAAAACCCTTATACACGTGGGATAGTAAGAGTACTTGTCAGTGACAAGTACTGGTACTCGTTCATAGTTGGCCCGCTCAACCGTGACAAGTACAATGAGTAGTTAATCTCGTCTAGTAGAATAAGTCAGCGAATTGTTTCCGAATGTCTCGGGTTCAAATCTTTGTCGAGGTATATTCCGGAATTCATTTTTTTAAATTATGTGAGTAGAATTCGAAAGTGCGTTGTTGGTGGCCGGACGCCACTGGCGGCCACCAGGTGGCCTCAGATTTGATCCCGGGGAACCCCATTTCTCACGTATTTTATTTGTCCAGTCTGAAATCCTTGCTGGAATCGATTTTAGAAATCGTGTCTGCTGAACACGAGTCTTAATTGATTCAGGAAGTGCTTCCGAGATCGATTTTCAACTTTCAAAATCGTGTTTATTGAACGCGACTTCAGTAATGATTCCAACAATCGATTCTGAGGATCGATTCCAGCATCGCACACAACGGCCAGTGCGAATCATCCACAACGAAGTTGATATAAAAATTGAAAAAACATCAATTCATTCATATTCAAAAGTGTAGTGCTGCATAGAGTAGAGAAGAGCGGGTCCTAGCAGGCTGGTCTTCAAAAATGGTTGAAATCGAAAGCCCGTATAGGCCTCTATCTTCGACGAGGCAAGTCTTCTCAAGGACTTGCTTCTGCGACTGATAAGTGTAGTCCTCGAAATGGCCGTTCGAGAAAGGAAGTGCGCCCTTAGCAATCAGTTCAGCATAAGTAAGGGGAGGTTGAAATTTGCCAGGTGAGTATCCCATAGCCTCTACCTGAAATATAACACCGTGGTTGAACGCGGACGCCCCTATAAGATCAGTATCAGCAACGGGCGATTTCCGCCTAAAGTAGTCCATGGCTTACTGATAGCTCGATTTTTGATGCTGGTACCCCGAGCGTGAGCAGACGCTGAACGGCTTGGCGAGCGAAATCCGCATCAACCATGTTATTCGATAAAAGTGTCGGGTGTCCGAAGTGAATCGAAACGGTGTCGAACAAGCGTCCCAGCCTGGCTGCCTCTACGTACTTCCACAGGGGTGAGTCCAAGGGCTCCGCCCCGAAACTGAGACAAACTATATCGCTTCGTGGATCAACCTTACGGGCCAGCCGTTGCCTCTACACAAGCATACTCAGAACGGCTACTCTGAGAGCAGAAACGATGGGCGATTTTACTCACCCGATCGACGCTCTGACAGGCTTCCCAGACGTGGTCTTGAGCTTACGGCTTATGATCCACCCAACTCTTTGCGCGATTTGCCAGAAGAACTGTTGACAGTTTCCTACCCAAACCCAGAACCTCACCTCCTCTACATTATATTGAGTAATATAAGACTGAATCTGAGATTCGAACGTAGCAAAGCTGAATATGTCGGGGGAGCATTCATGATAAGGGTAGCTGTCTGTGCCCAACAAAAGGGCTGCACCAGTGCCGTATTTTCTGGCACAATCGACAATTTCATTGACCATTGTGACGTTGACGACCTCCGAGAAAACAGAACCATCGTTGGCCAATGTGGTGCTCTCGAGGAGGAATTTACTGACCCCCATGGAGAACATTTCACAAATGGTGTCGGTGGGAGCGAGCCACTCTTGACTGCTGATAGACACCATCCTTCTAGCATAAGATAGAAGGGAGACGAGGAGGAGGACGATAATAGGAGAGCTGGCTAGCATCTAGGAGATGTATGCTGAAACAGCCACAATGGATGCTATCGTGAGGCAATTCGACGATTAACCCCTGCGTAGAACAGCAATAGAGCAATGTTATGTTACTAGGTCTATTGGAGTGGACTGTTCGGGAGCACCTCTGCCACACAATTCAATCACGTGAATTGTTATCACATATCGTGTGACACACAATTAGGGGTTAACAGTATTCAAGGACAGTCTCGTGAATCGCAGAATCACAAACTGCGATTTTGTCCGAAATCTGGGGAAAACCATCTTCTACGCGTGGTTAATGGAATTGGATTCCAACATCGCAGTGCCATCGAACGAAGTGGTTAATGCCATAAACTTCATGGTTCACGACGTGAAATTCGCGTGTACTGATGATGAGCTGATAAATTGTGGTAGGAGGATCTGACCGCTCCTGCTGGAAAGTCTGTTAGCTCAGCTAACAATCGATACAATGCAGCTATTTTTGCTGCATTGTTTCGATTGTTTGCTATATGTAAATCGACTCCGTTCGGCCATCGTCAGCTATCTTTTGCTGTTGTCCGACTGTGCGGCCCTGCCTGTGCGAAATAGACAGTATGGGCGGCGCGAGAGCCTCAACTGTAGCTTTTGCGTCGAAGGATCGATTGCATTTAAAGTCTTTCGAGGGATTCTTTTGAGCATTACTGTTTGCACCCCTGCCAACCTTGTCGACCGCAGCTAAGTATCATCTCACACCCGTATCTACCTTTGGGATTGTGTTGCCAGAGTCACTAGCACCGACTACCTATACAACTTTTCAAGGCCTACTTGGAGACTAAAAACTTCTATTTGGAGGGGTGGGCGAAATGAAACTGAAGATTCTCGTTTGATAACTGCGAAGCACAGTTCATCGCAGTCCCCCTCACTTGTCGAGCTCGACAAACCAGCCCTTGGGCCATGGAATGAGCTGTGATACCGCAAGGTCCCGATGGAGAGTGGAGCCATGATCTCTGCCATCAGCAGATCCACAATCATCCAACTCACCAAGGGACCTGCCTCACCCAACAAGGGAACCAGATCATCACTGGCATGATGAGAGCCCAGTAATACACTACAGCTGAGATGAGGAACTCTTGGACGATGTAAATCTGTTTCTACTTTCTGCCAACACGGGAGAGCCATTGAGTTGAATCAACCTGTCTTCTACTGCTATCCGTCAGTTCTGCCAATCGGCGCTGCCGACTTTGCGATTCCGCCTCGCAATACACAACGTGCGTTCCTCATGCCACTTTACGTGGCTCCGGCCTGCGTGCCCAACCTTTTCTCAGCCTGATGGTTCACCAGGCTCCCTTGCCCTCGGTTAACGTATGAGACGATATTACTGAGAGAAGCATGAATCGCGTTGTGATTCTTCCGAGTGAGGAAAATAGCTAAAAAAGGGCAACCGTTGTACTCATCCGCCACAGCAGTCTAAGTTTCTATAGCTCACCCGCATCTCTCATACGGCCCATGTATCGAGCCTTCGTACCGCGGGAGATCGAGCGTGTTGAACATCGGTAAATCCAGCTACATGACGAGTAGATGACCAGT